ACAAAATAAATAAAGGTAAGTATTTATGTCATTCAGTTACAATTCAATATAAGGCTTTGAAAAAAATCACTGAAGTTATATTTTGTTGTAAGACTGTCATATATTATTTCAACAATAGATTTTAAAAGTTCATTGATTTATAAGTTATTATTGTTGAAACTAGAATATATAAATATGGAGTTTAAGCTAAAGACTCACTAATCAAAGATATAAGGACCTTTATATGATTATTGTCACTAAGGATGTCTTAGATTAGTGGGAGTCACTCTTTCTTTCTGTTTAATAATATTATTTTGATATCGATACAAAATTTGTATTAAGATTATCTGCAAAAATAATATTTATAAGGTTATTTATATTATAACCATTTATGTATTGTTTGTGCAAATATTGAATTTGTAAACTTTAGTTTGATCTCAATAAAGACTTCAGTTAGACCAGTTAGAAATATACATGATTTAGAGATCACGTTGCATGAAATTTTCATGCCACTCATTCGTATTGATTTATATCATCAAGTACATTTATATGGTGGTCGTCGGAGTTCCATCACGTTATACATTAGTGACGACAACCGTGATGGTTCCATTATTGATGTATGAGGTGGACCATATTGTAAAGTTGAAATATAAAGATAAATAGAATTCGGATGCGCGCTTAAGAAATTATGATATAATTATTAAAATATACTGACCAAGTGGAGATTGTTGGAATATTTTACTAATATAATCTTATGTTAGTATTCCAATAATTATGTAGCCAAATATATTTATTTAATTATATTAGCTATTTTATCAAATAAAGTGTCTTAAGTAATTACGTGATCAAATAATGTTAAAATACTATTTAGATTTTATTTAGGAATTATTTAATTAATTGGGTATGAACTCAAATATGAGTGGATGTCCCTAATTGGCCATCATACTATATAAAAGCTATGGTCTCTAATATACCGTACACAAGTAAAATAATCTCTTCTCCTCATCTGAAGAGTGTCCAATATATTAGGAGTACCGATTGAGGAAGTCAACTAGTGTCAGACACTTGTCTCTACACTTTTGTGTTTTAGGATTACAGTCATCATTGTCAAAAGTTCTTTTTATCTTATGGATCCAGACATTCCTGAAATCTCATATCTCGTATACTAACATGCCGTAGATCCTATAGTTATATACATGTTCGTAATTATTTATTATATTCTGCATTAATTATAACATTTTAGACATTCTTTTCTATCAAAAAAATTATACAGTTGAATTTCAACCTATTTAAAAGTTTTTCTATTCATTTATGTATAAATTAGATCACTACTCCCTCCGTTTTAAAATGAGTGTCGTTTTAGAGAAAATAATTTATTTTAAAATGAATGTCATTGTAACTTTTCAATGTAGTAATCGATAGCTATTTTTTCAATTGTATCATATAATTAATATTCTGCACACTACTTTCAATAAATTAATAAGACTAATTTAATAAAAATGCAATGTCTCATTACAATATAATTGCATTCATTAATATGTGTGTAAAAATCTTAAACGACACTCATTTTTAAAACGGAAAAAGTAGGATAAATCATCATCTCTCTCAATATAATAAATAAATAGTTGAATTCCCACAAAAAAAAAAACATCTACATTTAATATCCGAATATTTCTATAATAAAATTCGTTTATGTGAAGAGAGTTTATGAAAAAATCACATCAATTCACTTCTCTAGTTGATAAGATTATTATTTTATACTAATTATTTTTCCTCGTATTTTATATTAATAATAATATTAATAAAGAGAAAAATAAATGAAAAAACGAATCAATAAAAATTTTAATTTTTTTATTATTAAATAAAGTATAACTTACTATTGAGATATCAATTATGTAAGACCTATTTTTTATAATTCTATTAATCTATATATATATATCTATATATATATATATATATATAATATATATATATATATATATATATATAATATATATATATATATATATATATATATATTATATATTATATATATATATATATATATATATATATATATATAGTATATATATATATATATATATATATATATATATATATATATATATATATATATATATAAAAGTAATTATGTTTTCTATATGAATGCAAAAGGTTGATAACCGAAGTGTCTAAGTTTGATATTTCAATTTTTTTTGTTTGTATTTTTCTTCTCTAAATAAAGATGTATTTATGAAAACACTTTCATGTAAAAGTAAGATAGAAAATAAATAAGTGCAAAGTGAAATGATTTGAAATTGAATGATTATGAGATTGAGAAGTGAATCTCCTATTATAATGCATTTGAATTCTTGTATGCTTCTTATTGTTGTTTCTTTTTAACTGATTGTTGATATCGTATCATAATATCCATTACATGTCAAGGTATTTGACGAGTGAGATTAGCAAAGACGACTCTTAAATCAAATGGGTTTTTAGGTGTAACAAAATGATATAAATACACTAGTTCTTTCAGAATCTTTATGTTGTATCATGTTCTTCTTCTGAGATTATCTAGGGAATATCTTTCGTGCAACGTCATTCATTTAGCCGATGTATCTACCTCAAAATTTTCTTTAATCACCTTTAAAACTAGGTCTATTTTTATATAGAGGTTTGTAAGACCCAATCCAACCCAAAGACCCGTCACAACCCAATGGTTTTGGGTTGGTCCTATCTATGTCTCATGTAAAAATTAAACAAAAAAGACTGTTCAAATATAGACCCAACATCAAGTTAGGATAGGTTCGAGTTGACCATTAAATTACTCAATCCATCCTACTATTATACATGTATAACATACACATTTTTTCACTTTTTACTTCACGATTTAATATTTTTATCACTTGTTTTCACTGCTTCTATAGTATTTTATTTAGTGTATGATTATGTGTTAGATTTTAATCGGATCCTAGAGAATCACACATAGCCGTTTTTAAGAGAATTTTTAGATACTTGAAAGATACTATTAACCTTGCCTTATTTTATAAAAAAACAAATGTTTATCATATGTGCTAAAGTCAACAAGGTTGATCACATAGACCTCAAGTTATACACGACCATACGTACTTAGAAGGCAAGACGTGTAATTGAAATAGTGTAGAAGAGAGACTTTGGCCTCCTAAATAGAAGGATATCATCAGGAGGCTTTTTGCCTTATGAACCTTGGCTAGCACGCATGAAAGATGCTATGTGGCCAAATGAATGATTTGCACAAACGTTCAAACGAAGTCTAGTGTCCAAACAAAGTAGGAAATGAACTTGCCCAAATGAATCCAATACCCCAATCGAAGCATGAAATGAACTTGCCCAAAAGGAGTTCAACGCTCAAACGAAAGATGCAACTAAGGCCTACATCGAAGGAGCCAAAGTGCCCAATCGAAGGATGTAAAATCGAAGAGAACTTATTTTTTTCTTTAATTTTGTCAAAAAGAGTATTTTGATCTGTTTTGTCCTCTTTTAGCAATTTCTTCTTTAATCTTGATGTTGAAAAATCCAAATGTATTTGTGTAGGTTTGAATTTTTGGGAGCCCCTTGTGAGAAATATCTTGAGAAATGAGAGGACAAATTTTAGAGTACAACAACAATGTTATAAGTTATTTTCATGAGTTTTTCTATAAAAAATAGTCTAACAAAATTTATGTTATTAGGTAAGAATTAGATAAATCATTACAAACTTACTTTAATCTCGTTTATCTTTTAATTTTTTAATCTATTTAAATATTAATTAAATTGCTTATTTATATATATTCAAATGAAATAAAATTTAAAATTAATTAATAAAACATCAAATCTTTGAAAATGACATACTAAAACCTAAAATAAACATGTGATAGAGTAGATCTTTCACCTAAACTTGAAATACCTAATTTGGCAAAAGCCATACACACTCTTTAAGAATTATCTTTTTTCTGTTAAAATTACATAGGTATGATATGTTCACCCACAAAATTCATTAATTAAAAAAAATTGATTTTGAATGATGTCGGATAAATGAGTCCTTATAATAATTTATAAAAATTAATTTAACTTTTATATAACTCAAAAATGACTTTGTTGTTAGGGAGGGTAACCCATTGACTAACTTGACATTAAATTAAATTCTAATTAGCATAACGATCAAGTTACTTTATCATATTAAAAATCTAGATTTTTAATAATGACTTTATCTAATAAAAAAAGAATGTTAAAAAGATTGTCTTTTTTTTTTTGTGATTATATAAGATTGTCTTTTAACAAAAAGAGAAAAATTAGATGAAGTGTAAAAGTTGATAAACTAAATACATATTATATCATGATAAAATTAATTTAAATTTCCACCGAAAAAATAAAATGATATTTTTTAATCCAAGGTGGATTAGGACAAAAACGTCATTACAATGTGGTCTATTCTTTCCTTAGAAAAAAAAAATGAAAATTAATAAATTTTGTTCTTGTTCTTTTTCCGCGTTTCCTCTGTGAACTTCAACATTTGTGTTGTACCAATCGAATCAGAGAGCAAAGATCTCTTGTTCTCTCCGCTCTTTTTCTCTCTCTTCTCTCAACACTTTTTAGGGTTTTTGATCTCTACCTTTCTCATTTTTCACCCGTGAGTTTTCCTTCTTCTCTATTTTCAACCCGTGAATTTTCCTTCTTTTTTTTTTTAATTGTTCTTGTTGTTGAAAAATGAAATATCCTAGCTTAGTTAGTTGGATGCACGTTACACAATTATGAGATAATTGTAAAGTTTTTTTAATTTTGCATCGCCAGCTATTGTAATCAACATTCTCTGATATGTACAAAATTTGATCTTATTTTGAAAATGAATTAATAGTGTCAAATGTTGCAGTGAGTTTGTAGATCTATTTGTGGTAGCAAAGAGTTTTTTGGATTTCTATTCAACATTTAACATTGATATTTTGATTTTGTTTTTTTGTCAATTTTGTTTTGGATGATTAGGATTTTTTAGCTGGAGTTGTAGACATGTTGACTTGTAAACTAGAATGAGTAAGACTGAATTATCAAGGATGAAGCAACCGCTTGTTCCGTTAGCAACTCTGATTGGCCGGGAGCTTCGGAATGGAAAAACCGAGAAGCCTTTTGTGAAGTATGGCCAGGCTGGTTTGGCAAAGAAAGGAGAAGATTACTTTCTAATCAAGACAGATTGCCAGAGGGTTCCTGGTGATTCTTCAACGATGTTTTCTGTCTTTGCGGTAGGTATCGTACATGTTCTTGGTTTACATATGTATTTAATTAACTTGATTATTGTCCTTTTGTGTTTAATGAAATGTTTGGAGAAAGATATTTGATTAGTGAGAAATGATAATGTTGCCTAAGATAATTGGTAATTGGTTCTGCTTCGACTCACTGAAGGGAGTGTTTCTTTCATAGGTTTAGTAAATAAGTGAGAGTTGAAGTGTGTGATTTCTTTCTTATCTTACATTTTCTCAGTGATCAAGTGGAGCGTCAATTTATTCCCACAATGGTTATGATATCAATAAGGAATTCTTGATTGGCAGATCCTTGATGGGCATAATGGTATATCCGCTGCTATTTTTGCAAAGGAAAACATAATAAACAATGTCATGAGTGCAATACCGCAAGGTATAAGCAGGGAGGAATGGCTTCAAGCTTTGCCTCGGGCTCTAGTTGTTGCTTTTGTGAAAACTGACATGGAATTTCAGAAAAAAGGTACATGAAGAGTTTTCCTTGTATGATTACTAGAGTTGTTTGTATCTACTCATTCTAACTTTTTAATTTCACATGCAGGGGAAACTTCTGGCACGACAGCTACATTTGTTATTATCGATGGATGGACTGTTACAGTTGCATGTGTTGGGGATTCCCGATGCATATTAGATACCCAGGGAGGTGTTGTTTCTCTCTTGACAGTTGATCACAGATTGGAAGAAAATGTAGAAGAGAGGGAGCGTGTTACTGCCAGTGGTGGTGAAGTAGGAAGACTCAACATATTTGGAGGCAACGAGGTATGATGTGTAATCATCTTCATGCTCCTTTCAAATAATGACTCGTTTGTTTAACTTGTTTTGGTTCCGTGATATGTTTAGGTGGGGCCACTTCGCTGCTGGCCTGGTGGATTGTGCCTTTCTAGATCAATTGGCGACACAGATGTGGGAGAGTATATCGTTCCAATACCACATGTTAAGCAAGTGAAGGTGAGTTGGTTTAATTCTCACGGTCTTAGTTTGCCGACTGTTTTATGTGAAGGTGTTTAGTTCTAAATTTTAATGCTCTCGTTGGTTTCCCAGCTTTCAAATGCTGGTGGAAGGCTTATCATAGCTTCTGATGGTATTTGGGATACTTTGTCTTCTGATATGGCTGCCAAGGCATGTCGGGGTGTACCTGCTGAACTTGCTGCAAAGCTGGTGGTTAAGGTGATGGTTATTTGGGGCAATGTTGCTATTTTTTGAAGAATGAAAGCCCCGTTATCTTGTCTAATATCTCTACTCAATGCTTTGTTTATTCTTTTAATCTTAACAGGAAGCTCTTAGGTCAAGAGGGCTGAAGGATGATACAACCTGCCTTGTCGTAGATATTATTCCTTCGGACTATCCTATATCGCCGATGCTATCAACTCCTAGAAAGAAACCTAACATGCTAAGTTCACTTCTCTTTGGAAAGAAATCTCAAAACTCGACAAACAAAGGAACCAATAAGCTTTCTGCAGTTGGTGTTGTAGAGGAGTTATTCGAAGAGGGTTCTGCAATGCTTACAGAAAGGTCATTTGAAACTATAACTGCAAAATTTATAGCATGCAAATATAAATTGAAAATGTTTTTAGAAAGTAAACATGTACTTATTTTCTCATTTTTGTGTGTATTTCTGCGAGTGATTTTTAGATTTTTTGTTTCGTTAAAATGCAGGCTAGGTAAGGATGTTTCTTCTAATACGAATTCTGGTATATACCGCTGTGCGGTTTGCCTAGCAGATCAACCCTCTGGCAATGGTTTATCAGTGAACACGGATCATTTTATCACGCCGGTATCTAAACCACGGGAAGATCCATTCCTCTGCACAATCTGTCAGAAGAAGAAAGACGCAATGGAAGGGAAAAGGTCCTGAAGTCAAAGTGACAACAATATAGCAATCCAGTATTCAATTTTATTAGCATAGTAAATATTTTTATAATTTTTCCCTGGCAGTTTGAGCAATGCTTGGTTCTCTATTTTGGGTGGTGATTGTCATAAAAGTGTAACAATTGAGGCTAGGTTAGGTCCATTGAAGGTTGTTGCAAATTATTTTTTGGCTTGTGCTCAGCTGTTGGACTGACTGACAAGAACAAACACGTTACGTTGTTTAGTAGATAAATTATATTTGTTTGATTGCTAACGGTTTGTAACTAACTAACTGACATTTTCACTATTAACATATTATATCTGTTCCAATTGGTTCTATTGTGTGAAACTAGTGCTAGTAAATTTAACTTAACAGGAGCTGCATGAGTAATTAGTATTGTCAATTGTTTGACTAACCCTTGTAACATTCTTAACTTGCTTAATAACAGAAGATGTGAGAAGTGGTAAGCATTATCAATTGTTCAGTTGACCTCATGAATAAATAAATTGGAAACACTTTCCTATTTATTGAATCCAAGTTTGGCTGTCATCACTCATCACATTAGGTGGCTTGGCACCTGTATTAATATATAGGCTTTGTCTTTTTTTTTTTTTACTTGTTAAAATATGGATGATGTGATTTCTACTCTACTAGTTAAGTTATTGGTTCTAATAAAAATCAAATCTTAAAGTTGCTTCATCTCTCTATGAATATAACATTCTACATGTAAAACTTATCCATCCATTCATACATGATGTGAGATTAACCTCTCATACTTTGAACTCAACATTTCATTAATCAATGTTTTAGGAAGCCAAACTTATATGTCAACATTTTAGCAAAGCTCTTTTCTCTCTTTTTCTTTATTTGATAATGAAAACCTCTTATTATTAAGAAATCTTAATTCCTAAAATACAACTGTTTGTCAAAATCAGTTTTATTTTAGTAAATACATTTTAACTAAAAATACATACCGTTTGTTAGTGTATTTTAATATATTTGAACAGAGAAAGACAAATTGATTAATTTTCAAAAATTAAAAATTAATAGTTACTTTTTCCAACTGTGCTCCCGAAAATTGTTGTATTTAGTAAATCAAAAACAAATGCAAAAAATTAACATAAATTAACACCAATAATTGTTATATATTAAAATAATAATATTATATAGATAATCGTTAACGTAAATCTAATATTACATTCATTATCAAATAATGGTTCAAGACATTTCAATATCTTTCGAATATCTTTGATCGATCTTGTAATCTTCGCATCCTCCTCGATCAGATATTTAGTTGCGTAATAGTGAAATGTACTCCATGTAATAGTTAAATTTTCATCCGTCTTCAACTCAAACCTGTTGAATTGTATATTTCATTCATTGTCAATCGAGGGTGAACGATAATCGAACTTCACAACTCTTCGATTGTTTGAGTACAAATTATCTAGTATGGATTTTAGATCGACAAGACGGATGATCAATGTGAACTTAAATTCAAGAAAGGACTTCTTGTCGTTGAAGTAGACAAAAGCGAGATATGCATATTAAAACATTTGGTATGTTTATGCTAACAAGAAGAGAGACACACATATTTATACAGTTTTAGATCAATATGGATCTTAGAAACTCAATTTTGTCTCAGAGGATATTCTTAGATGTATTTCCAGATACATCCTTTCTCGTTTAGTGAAATCAATGTGGATGCGAAAATGTATTTTCGAATTAACACTATTAGCATTTTCTTTTTAAAAGATATGGTGCGTCTGGAAGTGTAGTTATGAATTCACCCGTAAGTTCATAATTGTTTACGTAAAACTACAAGGGGTTTAAAATGAAGGAGTTTGTTCGGAAATACATTTCTGAATTAGTTTTAGGTGTAAAACAGGGATGTGTTTCACTTAGAACGTGTTTTGATGTAAAATAAATGCATTCAAATTTGTATTTCTAATATTAAGAGTATATTTTCAAATTTCTATAGAGTGTTTCTCCACCACTAAGGGAAACTTTGGGAATAAATAGGTGAGAGTCAAGACATTTGAGGTTTTAAGTTGCCACCCTCTCAATTATACCCGACACCCCCTATTTTGCATGCTTCTACCATTATCCCCTTATTTAAAGTTATCAAATTTCAAAAAATACGAGTTTTATCGTAAATTTTGAACAAATATCAAAAATTTCGAAAGTTCCATGAGTTTTTACGGGAAATTTCAAAACTATACTGAAAATTTGGAAGAAAAAAAATCAGAAATTTAAATTTTCCGATAAAAACTCTTGTTTTTTTCATCAAAATTTTCATTTCGAAAATTTTGAATGAACTATCAATAATTTCGTTTGACCATTTTATTCTATTTTATCAGGGATATTTTTGGAATTATGAAAAATGGAGGGTGTTAGGTTTAACATATGGGGTGGCAGGTTATATCTTCAACACATTTATGAGCCTGGCCCATTTGTGCTGCTTAAGCCCATACCATGACTAGTCAACAAGAAAGAAAAAAACAGCACTGAGTTCCGGTAACGTTAAACCCTTGTTGCAGTTGTTAGTTCATCTTTGCTAGAAATGAATTCCGTAGCAGCAAGACTCGCCAAGCATCTGCGACTCTCTTCTTACGGTATCTCTCTTCGTTTTCTATTTTCGCATATAACATATAAACAATAACTTCAATGTGTCAATTTCTAGGTTTCACTGGAGCATTTTGTCAAACACTTGTTAGGAATTATTATATTTCACTTTATTTCATATGTGTGAGATGAAACGTTTGCTGTTTCTGAATTCATCAGATGCTGTGCCGAGAAGCGCGGCGATGTGGTACTCAACTTTGATATCTGAAACTGATGTTGATCAGCCTTCAGCAAACAAGGAAGAATTAGATGATGAATTTGATGATTTTCTTGGTGGTAGACCTGAGTTACAGCTGCAAGGTGTTGATCCTAGAAGAGGTTGGGGATTTCGGGGTGTGCACAAGGTATCTGAATTTTATTACTTTTGCAGACACCTCTGTGATGGAGTTTTGATTTTGTAACTGTTGAAAGAAAACCTATTCCATGAATGTAGAATCAGTTTAGATTAACTTCTTGAAAAGTACTCAGCTAGGAGTTCTAAAAACAATAGCTTAATGATTAAGTTGAAATTAGCTTCTACATCTTAGTTTTTGAAGTAACCCTCTTATTTAACTTCTTTATAAAAACCTACAAGTTTATAATGACTTTCTTTGTAAGTGTGTAACCATATACTTATGTATATTGAAGAGCTTCAATGAACTAGAAGATAATCCAAATTCCAATCCCTGTCTTATTTTATGTTGAGATAGATTGTAATTTTTTTCGGTCTAGAAACCCAATTGCTGGAATTTCACCTCCTAAAGGTGAATAAGTGGGATGTCGTGGGTCCGAAGCCGCACCCTTGTATATGATGTCCCTTCACAACAACCAATTGAGCTGTTGGTTTAATGGGACGAGATAGATTGTAATTTGATGTGCTTGATTCATTGAACCATGTTTTGTCTACTATGATTAGGTAGAGTTTTTTTCAGTGCAAGGTTTTAAGTTTAATAGGGTTAATTTTTATCCATCCAACGAGAAATGCTTCGGGTAACATTCCCATTACCAGAACTGGTAACTTATGAGTTTGAATAAATAGTGTTGATTCAGGAGTATTCGTGCTAAAGCTAATAAGAAAGGCACTCTCACTAAACATAGCTTGTGATTTCATAATAAAAGATAGTTTAATGAACTGTTCTTTCTTAGCTTTAGATATGACAAGTGGTGCAATATTTGCTTGTTGAACCCGACAAATAATTTGACCAACACCGTAGTGATTTGAAGCAGGCTATTATTTGTGGAAAAGTTGGCCAAGCCCCTGTACAGAAGATATTAAGGAATGGGAAGAACGTAACCATCTTTACAGTTGGGACAGGGGGGATGTATGACCAAAGAATTATAGGATCAAAGGATTTGCCAAAACCTGCTCAGTGGCATCGCATTGCCGTGCATAATGATGTACTAGGAGCTTATGCAGTACAACAACTTTTTAAAAAGTAAGTGTACATATAAAAAGATATTTGATTTTGTTGTAAATATAAAGTTATTGAAGACTGACACTTGAAGCTTTAATGCAGTTCTTCAGTGTATGTTGAGGGTGAAATTGAGACTAGAGTTTACAATGATAGTATTAATGGTGAAGTTAAAAGCATTCCAGAGATATGTGTTCGCCGTGATGGTACGGTGATTTATATGCTTTTTTTCCTGCTCTTTATTAAGGTTTCTGTGAAAGACCAACAAGCATTAAGCTCTAATTATAATTGTTTTTGTTTCACTCTTCTCATTTCAATCTGATAATTTGTTGTTGCTCATATGGATCATACTGTGTTAATGCTCTCTCTATATGCTGTCTCTTTAGGGAAACTCCGCCTCATCAAAAGTGGAGAGAGCGTTGATAAAATTTCGTTAGACGAATTGCGTAAGTTCTTTTAACTATTTATGCAAATAGTAACACGGTTTAATACTCTTTTCCAAACACTTTACATTGTGAGTTGTGACTGGATTTTTGGAGTTCTGTTAGACATGTCTTTACCATTAAGATCTAAATCTGTCGTCGACTGACTAATAAATTCATGCTGTCAGGAGAGGGATTGTTTTAGAAGAAATCTCATTTAATGGAGAAATGGAGGCATCTACATTTGCCAGAATTGGAGGAATAGAAACATCTGTAACAAAAACATATTTTTCGTGAATAGCAGCATTTGTAATGAACACCATGATAATTGCTTTATTAAATTGTTTTTTCCCTTATATATATCCTTTAGCTTTCTGAATGTGTCTCCCATATTTTATTTTCTTATGAAATGTGTGTCTTCCATATTTTATTTTCTTATGAAAGGTTCTAGGTGTAAAAGAGCATATTTTTTTATGTCGATTACAAGTTAGTTACTACTAGAATATGAATTGTTTTTGGTATTGTCCTTAAAGATGCAGTGATCACAAGTACAATTTCTGGTTTTGTTTGATAGAGTAAAATGAAATACATGGAAATGACATCAATTTGTGTTTTCTTAATCATTTAAAATATTAATAGATGAAATAAACTTTTATTGTGTGGATTATATTCTAATAAGAGAAAAAAAATCACAATCATATGATAAGTACTAGTCATCCTGTTATTTTTAAATAAATTATATGACATTACAAAATGATGAATTGTCATTGGATAATTTTACACTGTCAGGACACTATGTTTAACTATATCTCTTGGATTTATATTGATTCCTTAATTTTTTTTTTGTCATTGTTCCCTTAATTTTCAAAATATTTTAGTTTAGTTTTTTTTCTCTAATTAATGACAAATTTCGCGACGAAGTTAAGAGACTAAGATGACATGAAAAAATATTAGGAGTTTTTTTTCTCTAATTAATGATGAATTTCGCGACAAAGTTAAGAGACTAAGATGATATGAAAAAATATTAGGAGACAATTTGAACCCAATAGTATAGTTTCTCAATTTCAGGTTTAAAATAATTTTGAAAATATGTTTTTGCCACCAAAGTGCTTAATGGCCAAGTCATACTACGTTGTTATCTTTAACAATGCATAATATCCTTAAAATATGATATGTAGACCACTTCTAATAATTTTTTAGACTAAGAGAAATTTTCTTATAATCACAAGTGTTTATTTATTAATAAGTTGTTCTGTACTGGGTTTTTGCTTGGTCCTCCGTCGGGAAAAGTCTAGTCCAACTCTGCTACGAAGAAGGCCTATTATTGTGACCCATATTGCTATGACCATTGATGAACGTCTCTCACACGTGTCCGTCGAGGACCTTCTCCTCAACACGTGCACGTCATGAACATCTTATACGCGTGCCCGTCGAGGACCTCCTCCTTCACATGTCCGCTGGAGATATCTCCTCCACGTGCCCGATAAATACGTCCCCTACATGCACCCACCAAGGATACTTGGCCAACATTCCTCTGAATATCACGAAGTCATCCTGCTCCAAAAAAAAACGGGTCCTCATCCTCCGAGAATCATGTCGCTGTTGAACCGGGATATAAACCATGAATTGGTCTCCTCTACTCACGTAGGATCCTAGCAGTCACCATTTTGTGTCTGGGCATCTGGCTCAAAATAGGGACCTTGCCCAGCGCTGGGGGCTATGAATACCCTCTTTCACTAAAGGGTCAAACACACTATTCTCTACACTCTTTCCTACTTGCACTTTATTCTGAACCTCACTTTGGCATTAGAGTGTCATGCAGGTACACCCTATTCACTTTAACAACCACAAAAGTCCAAGTGTTATAGGCCATTGAAGATCTTTTCTGATTTCGGTAAGATCAGTGGCGCCGTCTGTGGGAACTCTTATTTCCTAAACCCTAAGACCAAAGCAAACTCATCAACTCCTAATGATCGTCATGGCCGACCAACACAACAACGACGAGGAGAATGTTCACTTCACCGATGTTGGCAACCTCAACAACAACAACAATGAGTCAGACGCTCACCCACAACATGACAACATGGACGTAATGACTGCTTCCTCCTCCACCCACGAGTATCCTCGGGACAACCATCACCGACAGGTCGAGGAGCATGTGGTCTACCAAAAAATCCATGTGCCCGCCAATGTTGATCCCACCACTGCGGCCTTGTTCGCAGTGATCAATCAGACTAACTATCTGATCTTCGTGCAGGGCAAACGAATAAGAATACTCGAGAAGATCTGTCGGTCACGCTCCCCTAGAAGGCACTGAAGACATGACTCATGTAGCCCGTCCATGCGAAGACGTGATGTTCGTTCACGATCTCCCTGGTGGAGACACCAGCGAGACGAATCACAAAGCTCCTCTCCTCGTCATACTGGGCGAGACCCTTGATTGGAGAGGGCCTAACCTGAAATGGTCAAAAAGCGCGATTGCACTCCACCATGCAAGGAGCGATGATCCCTTCCTTCTAAGAGGAACAAGGGCAGAGATCAACCAGGAAAAATGGGGAGTTGGGCAAGAAGTTCTCCATGCTATGGAGGCCCTCGGTTCGACTCCTCCCCGTCTCATTCTCCAGACCGAAGCGACAAAGACGACTCCAGCGGTTCACTATCTCGAGCGATTATGGAGGCCCCTATTCTCAAGGGGATGGAAAAAACCTCTGCCCTTAGCAACCTACGATGGCGCTACAATCCCTGACGATCACCTCGAGAGCTTCAAGGCGATGCTCCACTACCACAACGTTGGAGGTGCCACCAAGTACAGGTTATTCCCCACGACTCTGAGAAAAAGTTCCATGGCATGGTACAAAAGCCTCTCCCCAGAGTCCGTCACCTCATGGAAGAGCCTGAAGACCCAGTTTAACAGGAATTTTAATGCCTCCAGCCGACAACCCAAAACTGAGGCATCCCTCGAGGCAATCATTCAAGGGAATGACGAACCCCTCCGTGCATACATTGAGCGGATTAGTCGCAAGGCCATTCACGTCCCCAGATTGACCGCATGAAAATATATCTGCTCGAGAAAGGGTTGCATCCTAGCGACTTCAGAAAGGCAGTCGGGATCGAAACTCCCAAGTCGTTGGGTGAGCTCCTCCACAAGGCCCAATCTTACACAACCTATGAGGAGAATGAAGCCGCCAACAACGCTTGCGACTCGAGGAACTGTGAGGGGACCAGGCCCCGGAAAACGAAGACGTTGGGCCATCTCGACGAGGAGGGGACAAGAAAAAAGATGAGAAACCCCACGACTCCCACGAGTACAGAGGTCCAGCTGGCCGATTTACTGAATACAATCTACTGGCTGCTCCCCTCGAGCAAATCCTTACCGAGTGTATCAACTCTGAGTTCAAACAAGGAGGTGTTAGGTTTTCCAAGCAAACGTTCTTCAAACCTGGGGTCGACAAGACCAAGTACTTCCGTTTTCACTAGAGTCACGACCACGTCACTGAAGATTGAGTTCATCTCAAAGACCCGATCAAAACCCTCATCAAGGAAGATCTTCTGAGGCAGTACACCAGGAGAAGCAAGCCTCCCCGACAGGACCTTTGATAAGCAAAGAGGGTCGAGGAGGAGACATCACAATCTGATGATGCTCCTAGCATGCATGTCGCCCTTTGTGTGTCTAGACCTGAGGACTTCTTCGTTCCCGAGGAGGACGACTGACCCATCTCTGCTCACAACACCTGGGAGTGATTCCTCACCTCCACAGTCATATCCGGAGGGGGTTTTAACGCGGTCACCGTTGGGTCGATGAAGAGAAAGTTTGAGGGGATGATTGATGCAAGCTCGACTCAGAACACAACTCTCGACAGGTTCCGAGGAAAGTCTAAACCCATCACCTTTTATCTTGAAGAACTTCCAGACGGGGAACAAAACTCCTGCATCCCCTGTTGGCAAGGGCAAAGATGGCGAACTTCAACGTCTGCCTAATTCTGGTGGACGAAGGGAGTTCTGTCGATATAATGTACGCCCATTTGTTCACCACTCTCCAACTCGAAGAGACTCACTTGACGCCATACATAGGCTTCGACCTACATGGTTTTAATGGCACAACCACCAAGTCTTGGGGATACGTCGATCTCCTCGCCACCTTCGGGGAAGACGTGACAGCCAGATAGATAACAGTTCGCTTCCTGGTCATTGAATGCGCGTCCCTTTATAACTGCATCTTGGGAAGGCCAATTCTGGCCGAACTAACCGCCATGCCATCGACAGTCTATTTGAAGATGAAATACTACACGAAAAGGGGTTGTGTCGTCACCATGCACGGGGATATCAAAGCTGTAAGAAGGTGTTTCCGTGCAGCCTCCAAGGGACAAAACTCGATTGACACAATGTCCAAGCCCTCGTCCAGCAGACAAGCCAGTTCAGCAAGGGATAAGCCAACTCGAGCAGCGGAGTAGCCGCCATCACCTCACGTCAGTCCAGTGGACCTCGACACCCGTTTCACCAGAGACAATCTGAAAGAATAAAATAGGGAGGAGGGCAGTGCCCAAGCAGCTGACAGCAGGGAGCCTCTACGCCTCTTCCACCCCATCCCAGATGGAGATTTTGAAGTCATCCTCCTCGGCAATAATCCGAACAAAGGTGTGAAGAACAACAAAGGAATCCACAACCTATCGAGGAAGAAACTCAAAGCATTTCTGAGGGGGAACACTGATTTGTTTGCACGGATCACTGTTTAGATGCCCAGACTCGACCCCAAGGTCACTTTTCATTAGCTGGTCGTAGATCCAGCTGCTAGGACAGTAATTCAACATAGGCGTAGGCAGTTTGTTGAAAAAGCGGAGACTACTGAAAAAGTTGTAAAAGACCTAGAGGCAAATTTTATTTCCGAGGCCCAATACACAACCTGGATATCTAACATTGCATTGGTCAAAAAATCTAATGGAAAATGACGTATGTGTGTTGATTGTACCGATCTCAATAGAACATGTTCCAAAGATGCATATCCTTTACCTAATATTGATAGGCTGGTAAACAACTCGATCGGCTATAAAATCTTGTCATTTGTAAATTCATATTCAGGTTACAATCAAATCCCCATGGCGAGGAGCGACAACAATGCACCGCTTTCATGTCACAGTCGGGCAACTATTACTACAACGTAATGCCCTTTGGTCTGAAAAACGCCGACGCTACTTATCAACGAATGAT